CAGATCGTCCCTCTCCGCTCCGGTCCGCTCCGCCCAAGTGGTCAGCTCAAACTCTCCTCTGCACCGCCCCCCCCCACTCCGCTAAGGCCTTCGTCCCGCCCCTCCCTCCCTCCCTTCCCTCCCCTCGAACGCTCTTTCCCTCCACGCCACATCCCGTCAACCCCGATCCCCGCTTTCACCACATCTCTCTGACCGCAGCGCTCCCTTCCCCTTCCGATCTTGCTTCACCACGCTCCACACTGCCCCGCCACACCATCCTGCCCCACCCCGCAGTTCGCGATGAAATAGTTCCTTTAGCTCTCTCGGAATCTCATCACCGAACACACTAATTTGTCCCAGTAGTTGCGGGCTCTGGCTCAATCGAGCTATGGTGGTTCAAGTGTATGGTTTATGAATTTCTTAATAGCATGTTGCAATAGTAAACATTAAATATCTCACTTGTTACTGTGTATCGATAATTACTGTATAATTATTGTAATAAATTACTGTGTACCGATAATTGTTAAGGAAGGCCTACGCAATTTTATGTTCTTACATATAGATGGTACTTGAATAATATGTTTGTAATTGTTTGCTCTCTATATTTTTTATCAGTTATCTCAAAATTAATAAACGAAAGCTACTCTCTTATCTTAAGAATTATTATTTGAAATTATTTAGGATATCCAACGTGAACATTACATTAAAAGTAATTCATTATTATCCCTATGGATTTTTGCAAGATGGTTTACAATAAATGTTACAAAAGTCTAGATGTCGTAGATGTCTAAGACGTAGATTATAACTTTTACGAATGAAAATGTAGGACATCTTATTTCAACAGGGTTACGTGATATTTCTGCTATCTCGCCCCCCTTACCTTTAGGCAATTCGTTCTACAGCAGAGCTTCGCGGGTGTTCGTCATCACCCCTTTCTTCCGATCCTCATGACAGGAGCTCCTCCAAACGAGGCCGAGGTCATAGATCGCCAGACTTGTGGTTAGTACAGAATACGTGATAAAGTGACCTCTCTGCTGCAGTCTACATTACGCATAGCGTCTTTTCTGACAGACGAGTTGTAATTTCACCCACGCTGTTTCGAATAGCCGCAGTAGAGAGCTACACGTGTGAGGATTATTAAACATGCTTTTTGTATATAGGGTGTCTGAAGACAATGGCACCCGCTCGAAGACTGAACGCGGAGCTTTGTCGGGAATGCATTTAACGAGCAAGCATCCAACTACTCGGCCGTCACTACAAGCAATTTTTGTACTAAAAAATAAAAAAAATAAAATACAGACAAACTCAAATCGTACAGTGATGGCTACAGGACAGGTTTCGTTGATTGATTGATTGTTAGTGATTCCGGGCACATCAACTACTTACTAAGTTCATTAGTCTCCTAAGGGAAGTGCATGTTTTTTCTCGGAAGTTGGCGGTGGTCTTCCTCCGCTGGGTAGCGAGATCCGTCGCTCATCTACCGCCGCCTAGCGGGTTTTCCCCAACCAGGTATCTCCTGCCAGCGGGGCACCGCCCCAGCCGGGACAAGCTCCGATATCGGGCTGCATAGGAGGTAGTGTACTGCATGCTAGATCGTGTGTGTGTGTAAGTAAGTAAATAAGTAAGTAAGTAAGGAGTAAAGATAGGACAAGGAAGAGGAAGGAAAGACCTCGCGTGGTTCATACCTCTTTGTTACGGTACGTTGGTGTTGATCAGGTGATTGATTCACCTGGTGTTGAAAAATACACAGAAACTACCTATCAGAACAGCCGCTAGAATTATCTTCGAGACAGCGACTCAATTCGACTTAGCTGACAAGCTAGTGTCGAAATCCATGCCTCTGCTGGGACTCGAACCTAGGACCTTCCGGTCAAAGGAAATGCAGTGACATCAGTCGATGCCCTTAGCCATGTCTCCCGGTACAGGGATCGTGCATCAGCCGTGTACTGAAGCAAGATGACATGCGTACCGTACAGACATTTGACGTGTGTAACTCCTTAATATGTTATTTATTAGATGTCCATTGGCAAGAAGTGATAATATTCGTCTTTCCTAACACTCTAGAACAATACTGCTTAACTCAGTGGCTCGGTGAGCTTCTGTGAGACCAGAAATTCGAGATCTGTTTTGTTGAAGCCTATTAAGGGATTAGACTATTAAGTACTTTCTCAGTTATATTATCGACCGTGTGTCGTTCAATACCTTCCGTAATGTCTCATCCATTTAAGAAGAATCAGAATAGAAATAATACATTTTCTTAGAGTAGGAAGTACTCACCGTCGATTGTCTGAACGGACGGCAGAAGGAAAATCCTTAACGGAACCTTATGATAAGAACATTTTTTCTTGTCTCTGGTTGCGTTGAGTCGATGTGACAACTCAGCATTACGGGAAAAAATTACACTCACCTGACGGGCACCGCAGGTGCGGAGCCAACGGGC